ATTTCTGCCATGACTTTAATAAAAAAAAAAAAATTATAATAATTTCGATCATCTGTGAATAGTTTCTGAAAGTTTCATTAACATCTGAAAATTATTTTTATTTTTGCAAGATTTTCCAAATTAATGTGTGTAAATACAAAAAAAATGTGCTAAAAATTATCTATGTTATTTACTACCCCTTGTTGCGACAAAGAGAAACAAGGTTTTTTAAATCAAAATTTAGAATATTCTAAAAAGATAGAAAAATTTTTAAAAAATAATTTTAAAAAAATTTAGTCTATCCTCTTCATAAAAAAATAAGCATTTTGACGATAAAATTTTGTTTTCATAAACCTTTGGCGTCTTTTTCATCAGACTATGCTCTATGTTTTAGCGATTCCGTGGAGTGACTTAGGTTAAAAACCCAGGTTTAAAAACCCAGGTTGTTGTGTGTGTGTGTGTGTGTGTGTGTGTGTTCCTTTATATATGGGATCGGATTTCTTACATTTTTCAGCCGATAAAACAAACATCCACATTTTTTTTTTTTTCGGCAGGTAGTATTTCTTATTGTCTTGCACACTTTTTTTTTTATTTACATTCAGAATGCTTTTAAAATTCCATTTACAAGACAATTGTTTATAATAAAATTCTATTCACCAATCGATAGACTCATAACGATTGTAAACAATGTTTTTGTTTGAATTTGGGTTTGACCAATTCGTAAAAAAAAAAAAAAAAAAAAAAAAATAATTAAGACATGCGTGTCCGTCAACCTTAAACAATAATCTTTGTCAATTTTATTTTTCAGTCTTTATGATGGTGGATACTTGATCTATCTCTTACTGTTACATCCCCGGGCAACGCCGGGCTCTACTGCTAGTAACTTATAAACTTTTAGTTAATGTTCAAATAAAGTAAAAAAACAGATAATTTATAAAGGTGTTCATAAGTATCACGATCTCCGAAAGTACAACTAAAAATTATTACAAATTCTATTTCTGGAGAAATTTCGAACTTTTAAAAAATAAAAACCTTACCGTGTACTATTGATTTTGCTTTGTTAAAAAATTTTGAAGAGTTAGCTCCCTTACTGATATAAATATGAATTGTTTCCCTTACATCATGTGACCTAAATATTTAGGATATTAAATTATGGTAGTTCTAATTTTAAGTTCTAGGAATAAGTACTTTCATTCTTTTTTTTTATTATTTTTACTAATATATTAATCGTTTTTAAAGAATAAAATTGAAAAGGCTTAAGATACTAAGGAAAAATATATAATGTTGATATATTATTTCAAATATCATGTTATACAGTGCTTTCAGTTACATACAGTTGAATTGAGTAGAATAGGCCATGTTCGAAGTTTTATCCAATACTGCAAATTGCTACAACATAAACAAAAGATTAGCCTAAAATCTCGAGTCATGTTCTTAAATGGCTTTGTTAGATTGAGGCTTTCTTCATATGAATGCCATGCATAGCACCAAACTCTTTCAGAAATATAAGCTGTTACCTTATCAAATCAGTGTTTCAAAATGGCTTCGATCAAGTGAAGCCTGAGTGTCTTTGTCGAGACCATGCTAGGAAATTTGTCTCAGCTTTCCCGCATCAAAGGATTGAGTTTAAAAATAGGGTTGAGGTTTAAAATTTGCGAAAAAACGCAAGTAAAACTGCAAGATTAGAGCGGACAAACTCTCTCTTTTAGGCGCGTACGGATAAAGAAAAAACTCCTGCTCGGTGAGTAACGATAATAAAAGAAGAAAGTGTTTATTTACAATATATACAAAAAAAAAAGGTAAAGGGATAAAAAGACAATTAGGAGAGAAAGAAAGGGAAAATGTTCTTAACTTAAAAAAGGCTTGCTCAAAATATTTCTCTGAGCATCTAAAGAGTTCTTTAAGCGATTAGATATTATTGTTAAGGTTCTGATAGATACACTCACAGTTCTTGTAGAGTTGGAAATTTGTTCGCAGATGAAGGAATCCTGCAGCTGAGTGAGTTTTTTGGTCGACGACAGAAGGAGTGGTGAAGGGATGCAGCTTTGGATTGGTCTTGAATAGTGGACCGACGTTCGTTTTTGACAGCCCTTTTTAGTAGTTCTTCCTTGGTGAAAGAGGTGCTGGAGCTCCCTAATGTCGACCTCACAGACGGTGGGCAGAAATCTCACTGTCGAAATAGGCAAGATTCTGCAAATTTATGGAGTTTTGGTAGGCTCCGATAGATCGAGGACTTTTCCCTCCAAAATCGTTGTACAAATTTCCTGGCCCCTCTATTGGTCAGAAAACACATTCTTATCTCTGATAAGAATCGGGCCCTGAGAGCCGGTTTCGAAGGTACTGTAAAAAGTTGAAGTGAAGTGAAGAAGCTGTGAGGGTTCTCCCAGACTTTATGACACCATGGAAAGAATAATGGTGGTGGAATTCCTTTTTATTTTCCAGCTCTTTCCTTAGTCAAAAAATATATTCTTATCTCTGATAAGAATCAAGGCCTTGGGAGCCGGTTTTGAAATTAAAAAGAGGTTGGAATGATGATAGAAAAAATATCGAGAATGTGAACTTGTGAAATTGTTGTTCTCAAATTAAATTCCAACAACCACCTTTCTTCTAACCTTATGGACTGAAGCTACAGAATCACAAACAAAGAACTGTACCAAATAACAGAAACCACATCAACTGAGAATTTTAAACAGCAGCAACAATTAAAAACGTACAGGTAACTCGACAAGAAAATAATGATATCATCAAGATGTTGACATTCTACAAACAAAAGTTTAGGAAGGAAGACCCTATCAATACTGGAAAGAGCAATAATAGCTGCAATACTTGAGAAACCCATTTTCCTGAAAAATCATTTTAAGAGATTTTTAAAATTTCAACCAAAAGTAGTAATGTCTGCTCGGTTAGTGAATGGTAAATATTTCCCTATAATGAAACGGCTAATATTAATATTACCATTACATATGATTCATCATCCTTAGCAGACATTTGCCTCACTCAGTTAAATCAGAGCTGAAACCCGATAAATTCCTGTAAATTACTGAAATTGAAGGATTTCTACGTTGACTTTTACACTTTGTTTAATCAACCGTGTTTGAGTCAGACATTTTCGTTCGTTTGGTTTGGTTTGGTTTATTTTACGGCATATCAACACCTCAATGGGTTATTTAATGCCCACATTTTTTATTGCTGATAATATTTTGTTTTGTCAAAAATTTGTATTTGGTAATATTTTTCCTTCAAAATTGTATTACTGGTAATATTTTTTTCAAAAAAGTATTGCTGGTAATAGTTAACTATTTGCCCATAGCTGGGACCCTAACAGGTGCTACCAGCCCGGGTCAGCAATTAAGAGGTGGTTCCACGCTCCTCAAAACCTCCTGATCAGAGGCCTTGCTACTGGACGTAGTTTATCGTCTTACCCATGACGCGGATATAGTTTAACGTCTTACCCAGGACGGCATTTTCGTTCGTGTCAGATAAATATATTTGTCTTAATTTTGAAGCAAACTTTACAATTTTGAAGAATAGAATCTTATGGCATGAATTCCTCGACGGATTATTCTTTACTTTTAAAGAATGGACATAAAATAAAAACAGGCATTTTTATTTTAATACTTGGAAGGATTATCTGAATTTTTCATCTTCTTTTATCTTTTTAAATAAAAGAATGATTAAGACCTCAGTTCAATCCGTACATTTTTTTTTACTTTACAAATGTGTCAGCAAGCGAAAAGCAAACAAGAGAAACAACACAAAAACTGTTTTTTTATAATAACAAACAATCTTCATTTTATTGTATGACATACAAAACAATCAAGTGTGTGATTTTTAAGTTGTAATAAATAGCAGGAGTTATTTCCCTTAAACTTGAAATTCTTAAAGCCTTTTATGAGGAAATATTTTAATCTGAACTCACAGAAAAGATTTCAGTTCATGAAATAATAGTAAGTTTCAATGCAAAGAATGTTCTCCGATAAGAAGGTGTTGTTGGGTGAAAATAGGTGTAAGATGAGTTCAAAGAAACTTGTTGGTTGTGATAAAATGTAATCTTCACTTAAAGTTGCCGCTTAAATTGTTCACCGAAGAGAGTTGACTATGAGTGAGAGAATTCTGGAAAGCTAAGAATATATTGAATCGTAACATATAGCTACAGAAGATTTTAAATAAGTTTCTATTGCTCGTAGTTGATGAGTTAAGAGATGTTCAATGTTCGTACGTATGTGTGCGCGTGCGCGTGTGGGGGGTGTCATAGCGTTTTCCCTTAAAGGGACAAACGCGATCTTTCCACAGAACTGCTTTGCTGTGTGTCTGGGAAAACAGGAAAGAGAAAGAGTTGTAGATGTCGCTAAATATTTATAATGTTGTATGTCATGTGATAGGCTCGTAACACATAGACAGATTTTTGGCGGAATTGTATTTTCATTCACGTCAGAAACTAGGTCGATACAATTCGGACGTAGTGGAAAACATGATATTAGCATTAATTGACCAATCAGGAGTAAGAGAAATATCAAGGCTCTGTGATCCACTTTTTTTTTTTTTTTTTTTTTGCACAAAATTGGACAAGTTATTTTCAGCTACTTGAAATGATGTAGAATTAAAATCTACAATACGTTTCTTTCGGACCACCTTGCATTTCTCTGCATCTGTTTCTAATTTCCAACTCAGAATTTGATTCAATTTCAAATAATCTTTTTCTGAAAATAAGGAATGGCGTATTGCGGAATTCATGCCATAATATGTCATACTTCATAAATTTCCGAAAGTTTACTTCAAGTTAAGAGAAATCTATTTATCTAAATGTATGTCAAATAAAAATAGTCGTTCAAATACCAATAAAGTAACAATCTAGAAATGTTAGCAATTTCCTTTTTTAATTTTGTCTTTTCACTTGGATAACGCCAGCGCTTATTTAATCAACTACTAAGAAGTCAATGTGTTGTGGAAATTATCATTTTCAATGTGTCTGTTATCAAAGAGCTTAGCCTTTCAGGGCAATTTCCTACACTACGGAGCTTACGGTCACTCGCGTTGAAACACAGGTTCCCGTACGAAGTTAAGCAACACTGTGTCTGCTCAGTACCTAGATGAGTGACTGCTTGGGAATACCAAGTGCTGTAAGCTTGGATGTGCGGTTCGTATAAAAGGCTTACGGCCACATCACGTTGAAACACCGGTTCCAGTACGATCACCGAAGTTAAGCAACGTCGAGACTGGTCAGTACTTAGGTGGGTGACTGATTGAGAATATCAGGTGCTGCAAGCATGGAAATTTGTACGGTGCCATAGACAATGGTTCGGAGTAGTTAATTTGGATGGAGTTCCATTTCCCGTTGGCTTTGTTATATTCACTTACGCGCAAATATTCTTGGGTAAGGTATGACGCCACCGCTTCTCCCCCAGCTATGGGTTAATTAGTAAGACTTGCATCGCTAAAATATTATTATCTCCCAAAAAATTCTAACAACTTAAAAAAATACATAGTTTATTATGGCTTTAAATAACCTACAAAAGGCTGATAAACTGTAAAAAATGGATCAATCAAAAAACTTTCAGTACGCTAACGGCCAAAATCACGCTGAAAGCACAGGTTTTCGTTCGATCACCAATGTTAAGCAGCGTCGAGTTTGATCAGTACTTAAATGGGGGACCGCTTGGGAGCACCGCATACTGTAAACAGGCTTTTACAATTCGAAATATGTTTCGGCTTTAAATAACCCACAATTGATTGTTAACCCGTAAAAAACAGTTAAATCAATTAATCCTACACTATGTTGACACTCGACAGTGTAGTCATTTTGTGAGAAAGTCACAGCTTATGTTACAGTAATTCTCTCACCCTCACCGGAGGATTTTAGAAATATGTCAAAAAGAAAAATAAAGTGAAAAGCGTGTATGCCGGGGTAACAAAGGAAGGATGAATATCACTAAATCATTCTTTAGTGAATAAAACAAAAGACATATTTATGGACAATGAACAAGAAAGAAATGTCCATTTGTGAATTGAATATAAACTGTCCCTATCTCAAGAATGTTTAAGAACTGAAATCTCTTTCAGGATAATGGAATCTGTTTTCATATTCATTTTGTTTGTTTGTTCTTTTAAACAAATACTAAGTATGTAGTTGTTGAAGTGACGTCAGTTACTGCTGAACCTGACCAAGATGAAAATTCCTTGCGAAAATGAGAGAAGAGATCACTACTTTTCTTATACGCCCCCACTAGTCATATAGTGAGGAGGCACGGTGGAGTAATGGATAGCGGCTTGGATTGAGGAATCGGAGAGCCGAGTTCGAATTCCAGTCGAATCCATTACATTCACTTACGTGCTAATACCCTTCTCCCTCCAGCTATGGGTAAATATAGCAGGACACACTGGGTTCTATAGCCTTGGATGGCAACTGGTCTAGGAGAAGGAAAACTCTGAATTCAAAACCTGCGGAGGGTCGTTTGGGGACCTCGTGGCACGTAGTGCACCAGGTCTATGTATTCGGCCCTTCAAAAAGTGTGGATGGTCCTGCACGAAACCTTCACCACTATAATCAAATCTCATGTGCTATACATGCAGTTGTGAATTTCAAATTCCCATGAAACTCCAATATTGGAGCACCCAGGTGAATGCCGTTACAAGTAGTAGTAGTAGTATCATTAGTTAGTAGGTTGTCCTAACGTCACATCTATTTTTAGCGTGGCATACAGACTTTTAAACTTACGCTCGGCTTCACAATGTGAACACAGATCGATTTTAATACTAATTTGATAGGGCAACATGTAAATTGAAAGGGAAAAAAATTTGCATTTTCATGAAAACATGTTTATTCATGTGACTAAATAACTAATCAATAAATTCAGTCAAATTTGCATTCGATTGATTTTGATCAATTTATATTTAATTATTATTTAATAAAATAAATCAGGAATTATTAGTTAAATATCTCTTCGTTTTAACAAACGGACATTTTTGCGCGGACGATGCCATCGCCTCACCCAGACGGGGGCTAAATTTGCCTCCCTTTCAAATCCTAAATATGGCGTCTCCAGAAACACAGAAGAATCTCCGGCAGCTCCAGTTCCCATTATTATACGTAAAATGCTCTCTTTATTTTTTTTCCTTTTCACTTTGCTTATTGTTGCATACATGTTACAATTTCCCTGTGTGGACACTTGTAAATATGTATATATAATTTTTTGTGTGACTCAGCGGTATAAAACTCTTTCTGGGAAGCATGTTTTTAATTCCTTTCCCTTTCCGCTATTCCGTTCCATCCATGAAAGGTGTTATTATATCATAGATATAATAAGGCCAATAATGGGGGGGGGGTGCAAAAGGGAGAATATCACTTTCTTTCGTTAGCTCACCCATTACGTATAATAAATTTCTTTGGTCTTTTATAGTAACGCTGGAATGGGTCTAGCCAGTACAGCCTCCAGAATCGGTAGCATGCTTTCACCATTTTCTGGGACACTGGTAAGTCTGAAAGAATTTTGAATGATACTTTCTTTCCAAATATCTGCAGTTACAAATATATTCCTGTGTTTGCTGTTCGAGTGCCATCAACCCAAATTTTCTCTTTAAAATTTTGCAATGTATATATTGTCTACTTTTAATAATTGACCTGCATTTGAGTCGGTATCACTCGTAAGCAATATCCGACTACAAATATTCCATACCTTCTATATGCGTTTATTTAAAGCTTCAAGGGCATTTTTTAATCGAGTTCAAACCAAGCAAGGTAGTAAAGCCACTAAGACACAAGGGGGTTACTGAGTGTGAAAGAATATGAGAAAGCAACACGCAGGAAAGTGACGCTAGGTTACTCAAGCAGCTCCAGTTCCCATTATTATACGTAAAATGCTCTGTTTTTTCCCTTTTCACTTTGCTTGTTGTTGCATACATGTTATAATTTCCCTGCGTGGGCACGTGTAAATATGTATATATAATTTTTTGTATGACTTAGCGATATAAAACTCTTTCTAAGAACCAAGCATGTTTCCAATATACCCAGCATGACACCCAGTTTGATAAGGGTCAACCGTGTCAACATCGCCAGGAGAATTAAGTGGCATAAAATCGTCAAAATTCAAGCACTCTCCTCAGCATTCTTGCATATTATATTAAAACTACTGTCTTGAACAGAACCCCAATTGTTTTAGAATCTTTACAAGACTCTTCGAAACTATTCCAAGTGCTCCAGTAAAGATAGAAACTACTGACCTCTTCATGTTTTTCAGTTTGCTTACAACGTCCAGATACTTTTTCCTCTTTTTCGCTATCTTTCAGTTTCAGTTTATTCGTTTGCTATAATGTCCACCATTTGCTATAATGTCCACCATTTGACAGCTTTTCTTTGTCTATGATGACTACATGTGCTTACCTGGCCAAGACCGGATGATCAATTTGATTTTTAAACTCCCGTAAAATTTTTTTATTAATATGAATGTACCAATCAATTTCTAGAAAATCCTAAAGGAAAAATCAGTTTTATCAGCCTTTAGCTTTTTTTATGGAAATTTTTTTTTTCTATGCAGGGCCGGTTTATGAGCTTTTGGGGCCCCTAAGCTAATGAAATTATGCCTCCACTAAGACAGAGACACCCTCCACCTCACCCGCACCCGTCTTAAATATTGTTAACTCGCGATATATTTTAGTGACATTTACATAGCTTGAAGTTATTGCACTATTATTGAATTTATCGCAAATTCTTTAAATAAACTAGAATAGATATCGTTTGTCAATAAAAATATTCCTTAAGAAATACCACTATTTTACTATTTATTGCAAACGAAATTAGCACATATTTCATCACAATTACTTTCTATCCCACAAGACACATCAAAACAGAAAATCTGAGATAAAATAAAATGCGAGGTCAATTTTACTAATTTGAGCCTCTTTCTGAATCACTGCCGCCTCGCCTGTCTACTATCTGCTTCACAACCGTGTAGTGCCCTCATCTACCGGTAACCTTTTAGATGATGAGTGCACTCGGGTCGAAGGCTCTAATTATGTAAGCGTTACAGATGCAGATGAGGAGCTTCCATTGCTGAGTTTAGTTTGCATTCTCTCTCTTGTCGTCGTAGTGCCGGCCGTTTTCCAAGACATGCAGCAATAAACGACATCATCAGATGAGGTTTGGATGCAGCTGGGTTCCCTTCCCAAATCGAACCCATAGGCCTCGGTCATGGTGATAGAAAGCGGCCAGATGCCATTACCATTTTCCCTTTTAAAGTGGGGAAGTCGTTGATGTGAGATGCAACCAGTGCCGATACATTTTCGACCGGTAATTTGATCAGGTCAGCAGTTGAGTCCAGGGGTCAGTCGCCCGGGACGCGGAGATAAACAAAAATAGTTAAATATTCTTCTCTTGCGGACAGATTTATTTTTACTCCCGCGGAACTGGAGATTTCTGCGGTTATTTGTCCTCGTTCGATGGCGTGCATTCTGAGGGTTGGCGGGATTGTGAAACGGAGTGGCGCTCTTGCAGCGTATCTCACTGGCGACGGTGCGAGGTAATGCTTTCTCCATCACAGCGGCTGGCAAGGGATAGCAAAAAAACATTCTGCTTTTGTTTATAGATACCTTGTTCAAATAAAAGCTTTGTTTCAGCACAACCCTAGTAAAACAAAACAGATTTTTCGTAATCAACATTATAACAATAAATCAATCGAAATAAATATGAGTTTGCCAGATTGATATCATTTCAGTATCTGTCTATATTTCTGAGATGAAGTATTATGTACACAATTTACATTATTCGGACTATTGTCTTCATCTTTGTTGCCATATTTATTACAACGCTTCGGCCTTTCAGTATCTGTCTATATTTCTGAGATGAGGTATTATGTACACAATTTACATTATTCGGACTATTGTCTTCATCTTTGTTGCCATATTTATTACAACGTTTCGGCTTTTCAGTATCTGTCTATATTTCTGAGTTGAAATATTATGTACACTATATTATTCGGACTATTGTCCTCATCTTTGTTGCTATATTTATTACAACATTTCGGCCTTTCAGTATCTGTCTATATTTCTAAGATGAGGTATTATGTTCACTATTTACATTATTCGGACTATTGTACGCTCCGGCCTTATTCAGGTGGTTGGAATATCGAACTGAATACTTTATTTCGCTCACTGGAGTAGAAAGGCGTTGGTTAGATCCAGTGACAGGACCCAAAGAGTTCAATACCCTGTTAAGGCAGTGGAGAACTTGGAGAGGGGAATTAACAGGAGATAACTGATAACTGACATCCGTTAAACTTGGCACGATGAACTAGAACAGTCTACCCCAGTGAGCGAAATAAAGGGTTCAGTTCGACATTCCAACCACCTAAAGAAGGCCGGAGCGTACAACGACCGAAACGTTATAATAAATATGGCGACAAAGATGAGGACAATAGTCCGAATAATGTAAATAGTGATATTTCAGTTCATGAAACTATTTAAAAGTTATAAAATGTAAGAAATTAAAATCATCGCCTTATAAAATCTTGTTGGTCGCAAGGCATTCTCGCTTCAAGAATAATCCAGCCCTGATTCTATGGCATCGACAATTTTACAACTGGATGAATAAATTTACTGTAGACGAGAAACATTTGATCAAGGTCTTGATATTCGGTTCTAAGTTCGGATTCTAATCAATATGAATTAAAAACCCTATTTTATTCA